ATGTGGAAAAATCTGAAAGGTCATGACAAAACCCCTGAACCAGATTGGCTGGATTTTAAAATAAACCTCATTCCCCAAAGAAAAGTTTAATTTTCCATTTGTATTAGAAGACTTTTATTAATATCTATATTAATTCTAGGTTACAGTAGTTACATTTCTGAATTTACAGTTTGGCAAAGAATACACATTATTCATAAACACAGTAAAAGAATAACTAACCATGTCTTCTCAAAAATTATCTGAAAAAATTACAGGAAAAAGTACCAGATATTCAGATTTTCCCGTTTGTTTCACATGGCTATTTTTCAGGTGTGCAGAGGAAGGGACTTATGTATTTGGTCCATGTACAGTAGTTTCAATCTGATTTAAGTCATATATTAAATCCTGGATGCTATTAAGCAAGTATGTTTCATTAGATTTCATTAGATTGAGTTAATTTACCCATTCCCCAAATTACTTTTAAAATCACTATTAATTTCTTCATGCCATTTAATAAACTAGACAAAAATGAATGTTCTCTCAACAGTCATGAGAGGCAGGGCATATTAAAGATGTACTATATATATGTTACACTGTACTGATATAGGGGACACTGAACTGAGAAAACCAAAATTCATGTGAAAACCTTGAGCCTATCATCTTTGCTCCTCCACCTAAAATGGAAGCAACACTTCACAATGACACTATGAGAGCAAGAAATAAAAAATGGCAGAGATTTTGCCATACAAACCAAGGATAAAGAAATATCTTCTGAGCCAACTTGGAAGTGAAGAAATACAATCTTTCATAATTCACCCACTTTTATTGTATCAAGACCTAAGTGTTTAAAGGAAGTAAAAAACAAAATACTGTTTTCAGAGACAACTAGCACATATCTTACCATTAGGTCCAATGCAGATGTGTCCTGATCTTTTAACCTTCCCCAACCTGTTGCCCCAGATGTGTTGGGTTACAACTCACAGCACCCCAGCCAGACAGGAGGACACCATGTTGGGGATGGGAGGTTTTAGAAAGTGGGAGGGCTCCTCAGAAATCAGAATTTTCACCACCTTCCTCTTCCAAGCTCCCTTTCAGAACAAACCTTAAGAAATGTTGCACCTGCCCAAGTTTCATGCTAGCCATTATTAGCACCACAGGATCTAATACAAGATGATGTAAACAGAGATGATGAATCACCCTCTAAGATGGTGGGACATGGCTTGCCTACTTTTTCTCTGGGTTCAGCATTCCATTCCTGATCTGTTCCTACTTCCAGTTACTTCTTACCAGCCTGACCTGGGTCTAACCAATGTCCTGCTCTTCCCATCAGCAAAACAGTGAGGTAAGGTGCCTGCTAGTGTAGGGAAGTATTGGCACCCTGGTCCTGGTCCAGCAGCATCTGAAGGGCACAACCACATAATCCCAGATCATGCTGACTGGAAGGCATTGAAATAGCAGCCCAAAAGCATCTGGAGGGGCACTGTATTCCTGAAGTAGACTGCTCCCAACAGTTCTCTTAAGACACTGCATGAAGTAGAAATGTGAAGATCTGGCCAGAATCTGGCTACCCTGTACTTGACAGACTTCCTTCCTGCACTTGGCTCTGGCCAGGAAGCAAGCTGAGATCAAGCCAGTGCGCAGCAACACCAGCAACAACTTCTTAGCTCAACATCGGCAAAGCCTACAAATCATGTGTGCAGAAGCAGAATTCTGTTTGCGCAGTAGGCATACAGACAGTGGGCAATACGCATGCAAACCAAGCTCATGAACATGCTTGGATTCAAATCCTTCTTGGACGCCTCAGTGAACATTGAACACAAGGCAGACGTACAGCAGAAAGAAGCAGGCAAGAGGCCAGGAGGCCAATTCAAGGAAATCTGATGGATTCCCACCCGCAAACCAGATTCCTCAACACCTCAGTACCATGAAGCATTTTTCTTGGTCTTGTCACCAGATCAGACTGAGGTCCAACAGCCACCATTTAATGCTAACCACCATCCTTTCTTTGCTGTTGTTTCAAGGCTTTTACAAATAGGCTTGTCTTCTCAATACTTCCAGTAAATCAAGGACTTGCTAGCGGGGTAGTTCCAGAGATTAGTTCTTGACCTGTGACATATCTATTGAAATGTAGGCTCAACTGAACTTCCCAGGTAAGTATGTACAGGAGTGCAAACTTCTGACATCAGCGAAAAGTCATATACTGTGCAGCTCCTACACTGAAAGTGATATCAGAAGGCACACAAGCTGAGACCAGGATGTAACTCTTTCACATGCTAACATTTATCCAACAAGGCCAACACAAGGCAGGGAAGGAACTGCAACCTTTGTTTCATATGGCTCCTACATGATCAGGATTCTCCATATGTTTTAGATGGTAACTCCTGCAATTCCTAAGCACTGGCCATGGTAGCTGAGGCTTATGGCAGTTCCAGTTCAGAATATTCAGAGGGCACTGGATTGCCAACTGCTGGCCTAAATCATCCAAGACTGTTGGTGGTAATATGCTGACGACGCTCTCTCAAAAGATAATGAACAGGCCACATAATAAAAGGGAAGAGCATGAATGGTGGTAAAAGGCAGGCTACTTACCTATAACTGTCGTTCTTCGAGTGGCCATCTGTGCATTCACACATTATGGGTGCTGCGCCTGCGCAGTGCCTGTTGCCGGGAAGATTAAACAGCTTGAACGGTTTTGGCAGGAACTCCACACCCTCCCCCTCCTTAGTATAAAGGGCCGGAGTGCCTGCCATTTTCCCAGTCAGCTGGAGACCGTCCATTCACCCCCAAGTGGAGAGAGTCAGTAAGGAATTTGACTCATAGGGAAAATACTAGCAAGACAAGCAGACAAAAAAGAGGAGTATACATGTAATATGTATATATGAAAAAGGGCATATACACACATAATTATGTATATATGTTATCATATGGAAAAAACAGACTGAATGAATGAATGAATGTAACAAAATACCCAGTCACCGACACCGAGTGGGCTGGTGGCCAGGTTGTATGAATGCACAGATGGCCACTTGAAGAACGACAGTTACAGGCAAGTAACCTGCCTTTCTTCATTGTAGCCTCTGTGCATCACACATTATGGGTGACTAGTAAGCTTACCACACCTGGAGGCGGGATGGTGTTGTCACTGAAGAGAGGGCAGCCCAGCCAAAGGAGCAATCTTGCCTGGCCCTGAGGGCCAAGTGGTAGTGCCTTGCAAAGGTGCACGAGGTGGACCACATAGCCTCTTTTCAGGTATCTTGCAAGGGAATCCTTACTCGGAGGACTGAGGAAGCAGTGACAGCTCTGGTGGAGTGTCCCTTTGGAGTAACAGGCAGCTCCAACTTGGAAAGACAATAGGCCAGTTGAATCTTCTCAACGATCTACTTTGAAAGTCTCTGACTTCCGGATAGAAGATATCAGACTCTCTTGTCGACCTTGTCAGTACTGAGGAAGGAAGGCTCATGTGTGTACCGAGTCCAGATGTGCTCTGACGAAGTCGATAACCTGAGAAGGAACAAGGCAGTATTAATGCTATCAAGGAGGGAGCCGGTTGTATGGATGGAGGCTAAGAGGTCATCCTTAGAAGAGGAGACTATAAGCCAATCTTCGAAGTAAGGGTAAACGTGATTACCCTGAAGGCGAAGGTGGGGACAAACAGGAGCCATGCACTTGGTGAATACTCGAGGAGCGGTAGTGAGGCCGAAGGGGAGCACACCATATTCGAAGATGTCAGAACTGACAGTGAACTGAAGGAGGCGCCTATGAACAGGATGGATGATAATATGAAAATAAGCATCCTTAAGTCCAAGGATGTGAACCAATCTTCTCTCCTGAGCAACGGAAGAATATTCTGGAGTGTGGTCATCCTGATTTTTTTGGGTTTAATAAATTTATTGACACCATGCAAGTCCAATATCATGTGCAGACCACCATCATGCTTCAGTACAGTGAAGTACTTAGAGTAGAAACCGTGCAATCCTTCGGAGCGGCTAACTTGATGAATCACACCTTTACAAAGCAGCTGAGATACTTCATCCCGAAGTGTAGGGGAGGCTGCCATATAACGGATCGGTCCAGCAGGCGGAATGGTCTCAAACTCTATTTTGTATCCATGCTCTACAATGGTAAGAACCCACTTATCAGATGTGATGGACTCCCAGACGGGGAGTTGACTTTGCAGTCGATCCCCAAAAGGAAGAGAGGAAGGTGGGTTGGAGGTGAGAGGAGGGGTTTGCATGTGTCCTCGGCGAGGGCACTTGTCAGAGTCAGGTTGGAGCCTGGGCTGTTGGAATTGAGGTACATTCTGCCAGCAGTTGCACTGTTGTCTTTGGCCATATTGCTGGCACCCAGATGGGTATGGAGATTGGTAAGGCTGGTAGCGATATTCAGATCTTTCCAAGACCACTTACATCTTTGTTGGGATGGAGTCTCCATACACTGTGCCATAAGATGAGCCTGCTGGATGTTCTCCAGCTTGTCATCTGTCCTGGTGTTGAACAGGCCGGAACCATCGCAAGGCATGTTCTCTACAGGCTGCTTAGTTTCCTGAGGTAGATTCCCAGATTTTAACCAGGCATGTCTGCGAAGCACTATGACACCGACAAGACCTCGAGAATCACAATCGACATAATGTCTCACCGTGTTGAGCTGCTGCCTGGAGAGCTGCATTGCCTCCCCGATGAATAGATGGGCCAGTCCCTTTTGCTGGTCCAGGAGGTATGCAGCAAGGGACTTGATCTTCAGCCAGAGGAAGAAATGATAACGGGCCATGGTGGCCTTGTAGTTCAAGCTGCGAAGACCAAGTCCCATGGCAGCATAGATGCGACAAGACAACGTATCAATCTTCCTGCCTTCTTTGTCCACTGGAGTGGAATGTTCCTTATTCTGACGTCCTTGAGAGGATTTGATGACAATCGAATTCGGTTGAGGATGTTTCAACAGGAATATTCTGTTCCCGAACTCTGTACATCCCCTCAAGGTGTCTGGAGGTAGGATGAGGATGGTTGAGCAGCTGCCAGGTATCAGTCATCGGCTGCTTGAGTGTGGTAATAAATGGTAAAGCAACAGATGAAGAGCCTTCCTTGTGGACGATACTGAAGATATTGTACTGGTTTGGGTTGATACGCTGCTTAACGTCTATCTCCAGAGACTTGGTCATGTGGAAGAACAACCTTTCTCTGAGAGTCACCTGGAGATCCAGGGCCCTGGATAGAGATGACCGCATCTGGAGATGTAGACGCCTCTTTAGAATCATCTGAGTCCGAGTCTGAGATGTAAGGTGGACTGAACGAGGATCCTCCAGGAGACATGGAGGGGTCAGCAAGTGCTGCAGCAGAGGTCGACAGTGTGTCTCTCGACACGGAATGTGGTGTAAAGTGATGAGGATGTGGCATCAGACGCAGCTGGTACCCATACAGGGGTAAGGCCAATTGAAGTGGTCAGGATTGAATTCCCTGTAAGAAAGGGGAATCCAGCACTGCAATGGCTGCGGAGCCGAAGGTGGAGGCGGCAAGAGCAACAAAGGGCATTGAGGCGCCCCCAGAGAACCCTCCAGAGATGAGTGAATTGCAGGTGTAGGTGTCAGAGATCTCGCACACGGTTCTTTGAGTCCTGGTTGAGGAGAAGATTCACAGATCTCTCCGTCGGACATAGAGCCTCTTGCTGCGGCATCAGGACTGAAGTGCAGCGAAGTTGTAACCCTTGGAGGTGACGATGGAGCGGTCACCTGCATCAAGGACTGAAGGCCTGAGGCTACAATTGGAACCGAGGTCAGGACCAAGACCGGGATGAAAGTCAGCTCTGAGCAGGGCAGCTTGTCATGTTTCTTGTGCCAACACTCAGGCTTGTCGGGTTTGTCCTTTTTGGATCGCTTGGACTTTGGGGAACCCTCGGACCTGATATGATTCCTCTTCTCCTTGTGCTTACGTGGTGGAGGGCTAGAGGAGTGCTTTCTATCCTTGGCGACCAAACCCCCGTCGGATGGTTTGGCAGATGGGAGTTTAGATGGTCCTGCTGCTGCAGAGGAGCTGCCCTCAGCTGAAACTTGCTTCATGGCGACCAAGGCTTGGTCCCATAGCATCTTGCGCAGCCTATTCTCACGATTTTTTCATGCCTGTCTTGTAAAAGACTGGCAGTGGCTGCACTTATCTGCCCGAAGGCCTTCCCCAATACAGAGGAGGCACAGGTCGTGAGGATCAGTGGGGGACATTTTAGCACCACACTGGGAACACTTAGGAAAAGTCACCCGCTGCACCATTGAGAAAGGAAAAGGAGGACATAGGGAGCATATAACTTGGGCAGGAAGGACGAAAGAAGGGGTTTTAAAAAATATTTTTTAAATTTTTTTGAAAGGGGGTAGGATAGGGGTTGGGGGTTAGAAAAAAACAGAGAATAATAGGAACGGGGCGAACTGGGACAGAGTACCTATATGTGAAAGAAGAATGAAGACAAGAAAGGAGTTTCTTAACCAGATCTAGCGATAACAGCAAGAGCAAAAAGAGCCCAAGGCACAGCGAATGGCAGTCTCCAGCTGACTGGGAAAATGGCAGGCACTCCGCCCTTTATACCAAGGGGGGAGGGTGCAGAGTTCCTGCCAAAACCGTTAAAGATTTTTAATCTTCCCGGCAACAGGCACTGCAGGCGCAGCACCCATAATGTGTGATGCACAGAGGCCACAATAAAGCACTCATACAATGTGTGGTAAAACCTAACTCAGTATCTCTTTCTCACAGTAAGGAATGTGATTCTATCTTCATGTGCTGGATTTGCCATTTCTACCATATGACTAGCACATGGTCTCACATGTGCAGGGCATCAATTTTGCCACACGTGAGTGTGTTGAGGGCAGACAAAAAATACTGTAAATAGATTGTTACAGAGTCATCTAAAAATAAGGCTTCTCAAACGTGATTTGGATGCCACAAGCTGCTGCTCTGTATTCAATACATTTTCAAGACACGTTTCATTTATTGCACCACTAATTATTCTTTTTGTAAATGTTCACAGAACCTTACTGATAAAAACATGAACAAGCAGGTAAAAAATGGCTGCTTCTGGCAGCACTGAAACATGCAGAAGTTTCATATACTACTTTGCAGCTAGTAGTTAAGATATTCATTGGTCAGATTTGAGGCAGCCAGAGAACTGGTTTCCTCTTACCCATCTTTAACGATAACTATGGATCTGTTTGCTCCTTCCTCCAACCCCTCTCTAAATTCCCTCCAGCTACCTCAAACATGGTTATAAAAAATTATCATGATTAACACTAACCAAGCTTGATTTCTACTGAAGCAGAATTTGAAACCAATGGTTGAGATTAATGGTAACATCTGCTGTAACCACATGCTGCCAAAGCTGGCTCTTGAACTCTTAGACCATGGTTAAGAAAAGGTCTGCATTACATCTTTAATGATTCTGCACTGAATATCACTATCAAACAGAGTTTTAACCAACACTACCAGCTTGGAACCACCTATAATGGTGGAACTCTACTGAAAAACCAAATAATTGTTAAGAGACAAGTATGATTATCTTTTGCACAGGTAACACATTAGTAGTTACTTAAACATGATTATTCATGGTCACTGTGGGACCTTGAAGAATCTTCAGTAAAACACACCTTCAGAATTCAATATTACTTTTCACAAGGATTTCCAGAGCACACAAAAAGCCTTGATAATAGGTGTTGGGCCAATTACACTTAGTTTAAAATCCATTCAAAAGTATTTTACTGTGAGATGTCTAGAACATAAACCTGGTTTCTACAATACCTATACCATCCATTTAAAAATATTTGCAGAACATATTTAGTGTGGAGATACTGGATAAAAAAGCAGCCTCTGTGTGCTTGGGAAGATCTGTACAATTAGCATGCTGATTCTACTGAATCTATTTCTGAATGATCAGATGCCTCTCAGTATCAGCAAGTGGTACATATTAACGACAATAAAATAATCACAGTAAGTCCTTAACTTTTAAAATAAGTAAGGGCAAATTCATAACACTTTATTCATGGCAAAAACACCAGACCTGTAAAGATAATAAAAACTGACCTGTTTGAAGTTAATCAGGTCAGCTGTATACATGATTTTAGATTAGGAAGTTATCAAATTCACATCAAAACATCCATATTAAAATTACACATGGCAAGATTAAAACACCAAAATTGCTTTAGAAACCATTCACATTTACTTTTACATAAAATTATATCCTGCATAGTCTTTCAAACAGTTACCCTGAAAATGCAGCTTTTTAAAAAGCTGTGTTACTTATAAAAGACAATTGTATAGCAAACTAGGCAGGAAATATAATCACACATTTTAAAAATTAGTTTACTTTCATGAAGTCAGAGATGACAGTAAGGAACGGGAAGGCCAATGAGCACGTACATTGTGATACTGAAGAGAAATTAAAGGTCATTATTGCAACCACAACCGATAGATACTGCAGAAAACAGCGGGATCCAAATAGTTATGCAGCAACCCTCATGGGTCTGCCCACTGAGATTTTTCAATGTTTTACCTTTGAAGAGCATGCCACATCACAAACTGCTTTCAAAGGGCCCATCAGTTTCACCCATCATTTGCCCTATGGCATAGGAAGGTGCTGTTAAGAGAAACATACATCCTGGGCGTACATACAGAATTAAAGCCATCTTTAGATCTTAGCCAACGTTTGCAACTGAAATATTAGGCTGCAGTCCTAAACATAATTACTAGAAAGTCCCACTGAACTCAGTAGGACTTACTTCAGGGTAAATATGCTTACAATCACATAAAGAAAGTGAAATAGTTGTTTTACTTCTAATTAGATTTGTTAAACTATCAGCAATATTACTGGACCTTTTTTCCTTTAATACAGTGAAAGAAATGCTATCCTACCTGTACATGTTCTAAACAGTACAAGTTACTTTTATCTGAAAGCTCAAACAGTAAACAGTCAGAACCTCCCATTTATATGAGAACAATGCTCGTTTAATGTCCAAGTAAGAATGCTCAGCACACAGCCGTCTCTCAGGTATGGAGCATAATTCAAACTTGCAAAACATTCTAAAGATTGAACAAATGCCTAAACACTACCAACCAGAGGGGTTATTTTAGTGACAGCTCTGAGAGTGGCTTAGACAGCGCTTTTATTGGAACCTGGACAAAAAGAGTGGCCACAATCCAGAAAGCCACACAGCATGCAATACAGACAGGAGCTTCCAGCATATACACCCCCAACATTTACTTTGTATTTTTAGAATAATTGTCTATAGTGGCAAAAACAGCAAAGAGTCCAGTGTCACCTTTAAGATTAACACATTAATTCCTGTATAAGCTGATGCAGACTGTATCATTTAGTTCCCTTCTATACCACCCAATAGCCTCTGGGTGCTTCACAATTTGAAAAATACAAAATTAATCCCTGCATTAGAGATGAATGGAATATTATGAACATTCAAGTACATGTGGTGGTGTGGGTGGGGCAGGAATTGTAAACAGTGAGATCAGAAAGACATTAAATGTGAATGGTGCAAGTCACATTAACAGCAGTCATACACAGTGCAGTTGTTGCTGGTAACAGACACTGTGGCACTAAATTTGTTAACTGGATTACCTTGTGTGAGGTTGTCTATCATTCTTTCCTAACACTAACACAGTATGAACTATATATAAATCCAAAATTCTCCATAATACTCCGTGGATTTAAGAAAATGGGCTATAGACCACAAAAGCTTATGCTGGGATAAATGTGTTAGTCTTAAAGGTGCTATTTGATTCCTTGTTGCTTATATTTTGGGGAGTTCTGACTTTTCCTACCTCAAGAGCAGGAGGCACATACCCCTGGAACTGAGATATAATCTGATTTTTTAAAAAATCTTACACTATCTCTAGAGTTTGTAAAAGAACTGAATTCACAATTTTAGAGGCAGCCTGAAAGGATGGATCTCTGTGTGGCCCATGGTTCTGACAAGGCACACAGAATGTTTCTAAGTTTTTAGAATATAGAAATGGGAAATAGGGGTGAGGGCGATTCATCAGTATGCTGGGCCCAGGCTGTTTGGGTCTCATAGTGACCATGAGCTGGACCCAGCTGAGATCCAATGTAGTGGCCTCATGTGCTCCCATAGACCCATTCTCCACAGAAGGAGAACCACGGCAATTCGTGCCACATGAGGTTTTTGAACTGTCCAGTTTCGAAAGCAACTTGTCATACAGTATGAGATGCTGCAGGCAAGAGGAAAAGGAGCCTAATGGAATGAACAACCCCTTGCATGGGGTGCCAAAACAACCCTTAATCTACCTGTTTATTTGTGCCGGGCCAAATCTCCAACCTCTGAAGCCCACTTTTTATTACAGAAAATGATCCTGCTGTTTAATTGTGGCATGGAAATAAAATTTGGTCATATTTTACACCTGTGCATGTGTTTCTTTATATAGGTGTAAAGTCTTTTAAAGCAGGAATTCTTGTACAGCAAAACCTTATTCAAATGAATAAGGTATCTTTGAATAAGGTATACATACACTTTCTGTACATCTAAATGCTGCAAATACAAACACTTGTGAGAAAAACATAGGCTAATGAGATGATACAAATGCTGATTTATCAAATTCATCTAATTCACAGACTGACCAGCTCTTGCTTAACACGATTGTAGAAAAAACAGAAATATGGCAAGCAATATATAATTCTGTTGTAAGCGGTACAGTCTAAATGCTAGTTTTTGTTTAGGAAAATATTTACCAAACACAAATTTCAAATTTATATTTCCACATATACTTTTGGCATGCAAAAGGAGCATATGGGAGAATACGTGGACTGCTCCTATAGTAAGACACACAAATAAGGATTGCTAAGTTGTTTCTTGCCAAGCTTTGCTGATGGTAAGCAGGAGAGAAGCATTTTAATAACATCCTAAGTATCTCTGTTTTGATTTTTTTTAGAAATGGCCGAACAAGGAACAAAAAACTCATAAGCAATACAATGGCCAGCTTTTGCAGTATGATCCAGGTCAGCAGCAAAGGTTTTGAAAAGCTTGTTAAGTTTGTGATTGATTCAAGCTCGGTCCTGCGATATTCCCATTCTCAGGAAAGAGTGCTGAGAAATTGTTATTAAGTGTTTCTGGAAATTCTAAGGCTGCATCAGCACTTTGACAGCTCACATAAGAATCAGGGGACTGCTGTGGAAGTACTTGACTATCAGGCACCTGCACAAACACCCCTGCCTGAGTAGCTGAGGAGATTCTTTGGCCAGCTAGTGGTACTTTAGGTTCCCTGGGTTCCAGCTGCTGCTTGTTTTCTTCATCCGTGTCAAGACGGGTTAGTTTTTCTATCCACATGCGAAACTTCTCCTCTGTCTGCCTCTGCATCTCGGCAAAGCAGTTCATGGCCTCTTCCAGGACACTGCCTATGCAGTTCCTATCCCATACGGTGCCCCTGTCAAGCAATCCTGGAATTTCCCTGGTCGCTCCTCCAGATCCCCCAGCACGAATGAAGCCAGCTTTAAAGACATTGAGGCCATTGCATAAGATATCATTAAAGATCATAATATCCATACATTAAGGCATGCGAGCACGTAGAAGCTATACACTTGCTCTAACTGGTGAGGTGTACACACACAAGAGAAGACCTATGATATTCCACCCAACTAAAAATTCATAAGCCTCCCATACTATGGAACGCGCTCCCCAGAGAGGTCTGCCTGGCTCCTTCGTTATTTGTTTTTCGGCGCCAGGCCAAGACCTTTTTATTTAAACGATATTTTAATTGTTAATTGTTGTTTTTATGTATTGGTTTTAAACTATTGCCGAGATGCTCCAAATTTTTAATGTTATTTTATGTTGTCTATCTCTTTGTAAGCCGCCCCGAGGCTTTCTGTGATGGGGGCGGCATAAAAATGCTATAAATAAATAAATGAATGAATGAATACACCTCCAGTGTAACTACTACAGTGTTTTGGCTCACAAAATGATCTTCAGAAAGTGAAATTAATCCAGTTCCTATTAATAACTTTGGTGCCGGCATTGTTGAGTGAAGCCAGAGTAACATAGCTTAATAATCGAAATTGTATTTTCAAATACAAACCCTCGGATCTATTTTATGCATATTTACTTAAAGCCATATAATTTAAGGTCAAAAGAGTTGCTCTGCCATATCAGACAAGGAGCATTCCATTTCCAAAAGTGGTTTCTCAGACTTGCAAGAGGCATGACGTGACTAATTTGTCCCATTGAGCTCAGTGCGCTTACTCTAAGCACTTCCAAGTCTGGATCCAACATGCTAATTTCGCCTTCAGCTCATGCTAATTTACAGAAATGCTGCTTTATTTTGTATTCTGCAAAGTAGCATTTACATTGTCACAAACTTCAGAATACTTCGGTAAGGAATGAGCTGCCACAAAAGTAAGTGTGGGCATTGAAAATGTGAAGATTAAGAGGCAAAGATAATGAATCATTCAAAGAAGCAAGAAATTACCTAGGTAATTTGCAGAAAGTTTGCATCTAAAACTCTCTTGGTTAAATCTTCAAATAAACACTGCTTGCACATTTTCACCCTGTTCTTTCTTGACACACAGTATTGTTATTTTAGGAGAATTATTAGAAGTTTAGGAAATCAAGCCAGGTACTATTTGAGAATCCGCAACCTGACAGCGAGTGAGAGGACAAGAAATTCTAATTGAATTCATGAATCCCTAACTGACACTTTTTCCAGATATTAAAGCAGAGAGAGGGAAAATTCACCCTTTAATCAAAAACTGTGGGGAAATTTTACAAGATCATAGGGGCAGGCCTACTGAGGAATGACAGCATTTAAACTAACTTTTCAGAAAGGAACTGAATGGCAACAGTAAGAATATGAAAGAAGGGGCAAAGGAAGCTAGATTCTCTTATCGATCAGCAGAACTCCATCTGGGAATAGAAGTCTTGGATTTTTATTATAGCAGGCGTACTTTGTAGTCAGAAGTAATGTCCTCCACTTTCACAGTGAGATGACAGAATGACTGATTGTTGCTCACAAATCTGGCATTCTACAATGGCAGCACCTTCTGAAGTGAAAGGTGTTCAGATTTCTTCTCAGGGTTAATTTTGGTCAGGGGAATTATTGGGAAATTCATGGGAATTATGACTCATCTTCTCCCTCCAACCCTCCACAAAGCTTTGAAAGCTTTTCTGTGATAGGAATTTACAATAATTCTGGATGCAGGAAATCAAACCCTGAATTTATAGGAAGCATTTTTCCCCAGTTTTCCAGAAAAAGGCTTCTCAAGAATCCCAGTATTCCATAATATCATGATGCAAATTAGGGGCAATGAGTGCTTCCATCTGTGTGAAACACAGAAGAACTGCCATGATTTCTCCTACTACAATTCCACATATAGAACAAAATTAGGATGGTAATTTCAGGAAGTTTGTAAAACCACAACCAGCAAGGGTCTTCTGACTCTTTTCAACAGGCTGCAAAATATTTCTACGAATAAGCATCAGCGAGGTGCTACCAAAAGGTCAAGTGATCCATGTTCCGCTTAAGCAACCTGTCTGCTTGGCCTTATGCAACCAAGACCCCACTATGTGGGAAGAAGAACCATGACACCACTGCACAAGTACGCTTTCAAGAAATTAGTCTGACCATTTTATTACTTAAGCCTTATATAAGGATGAGTAGCAAGATTTGCTACAGTTTGAACATTAAACTGAATACTCAGCATACCCCTGCAGGAAGCCCTGTAGACAGGATGGTACTTAATTAACCCTATAGTAAATTACCTATATATAGCACATAACAAAGAAACCAGAATCAGGATTATTAAATTTTGGTCTAAGGTACATCTGTTGCTTCCAGCACAAGTTTGGGATGGCCCCTGGAAGCATGATGCAATTAATGGGAAAATATGAGTGATACAATGGTTTCTTCTATATGCTAATGAGGTAAACGCTTAAACCAAGAAGCAGCTTGTCATTTCAACAGTGGAAGCTTTAAGGAATAAAAAGACAAAGAATAGAACCAAAGGGTAAAAAAAGTAAAGTTCCAGATTTGAAATCTAAGGCTGGTCATCATGTAAGGTGTGATGGCCCCCAAAGAACAAACAAACCAGAATACTAACCCTCACTAAAGCCACTCCACGAACCTGTTGAAGGGTGAGGTACAGATCAAATAAATAAATGACATATTCTGTCGAGATGTGTGTTGGTGACTGCCTCTCTCCTCCACAAAATAAGAAACCAGACAGGAATCCTCTGCGAATCTGATACCAAACAGTTTCCTGGCAACATCCTACAAAACAGACGGTCCAGTCAACCTGTGGTCCTCAAGGGATTTTGACCTGCAGCTGCTAGTCTAATGGGTAAGAGCTGGAGGGAACTGTGGCCTTCCAGACATTTTGGGTTACAAGTTGCCCACTCTTGCTATGCAAGCTTCAAAAATCACCAATGAATACCTCTGCTCAGTTCTAGCTATGGGCACGCTACCTGAGTCGCCTACATCTTTGTTCAAAAGAGCATTAAATTAAACTAGCTAGAAAAAAAGCATATTTTGTTTATCTGAACCTGCTTAAACATCTCTTTCTTTTCTAAAAGCTACTTCTAGCAAGCAAAAACCACTAGTCTAAAGTACCTTTAATTCATTTACCAACAATAACAATTGCTTGGACTTTTCACTTTGTAATCTAACTTTGAGTGTAACATACAAAAAGAATCAATTCCACACCTTCTGCTCCTCTTTCTGTTTGTGAGCACACATACATCTGCACAGAAAAGGGCATAGCATTTCTGAATCACCCCATTAGCCATACCAAAATGCAATGGTTAACAAATCTGGGTTGGCCCAGTTGTCCACCCAAGTATTCACCTAGACTGCCTCTGTCCCAAGGCATGGAATTGTCTCTCTGACTTCATGGAACATCTTTGAAAGACAGCACACAGCATGAGACAAAAGCAAAGTCTCCTGCTATTCCTCTTCAGTTAGGAACTTGCTTGTTTGTGTGTGTTTTTTTAACTTCTGCTAACTGCCCAGAAAGCCTCAGCTATTGGGTGGTATAAAATAATAAAGTAAAGTAAAGTAAAGTAAAGTAAAGTAAAGTAAAGTAAAGTAAAATAAAATAAAAAACTGGTGAAGGACAGTGGATGCATGAAGGCTTTTTCTGTCTCTGCTGGAAATCTAGACCTCTAACTTACATGGGAGTTATGAGGACAACCCTGGCAGCTCCATCCTCCCCTTCCAGGGAAGAGCAAACACAGGACAGTCAAGGTTACCATCCAGCTGGAGTTCCAACTGCCCAAGGGCATGAAAACTAACCTCTGTGCCTCTACAATTCCTCTCCTGGTCAGCAGGCCAGGACTGATGTGCATGCATGTTTGCACTGCCTTTGTCAGGAGGTTGGAAGCTATTGTTAGTGAAGGGTTGGAGATTTAACCTTCTCTCTCAAAGATGCTCAGAAGTGATGAAAGGTAGCTGAAGCATGTAGGCTCCCTTCCTCCCTGCTTCTACCAGGTGGCTGGAGCTAAAAGCTCTGGAAGATTTACAGAGCATCCATGAGTGTGCATCCAAAACTCTCAAGCTTGAAACCAGAGAAGGGAGGAAACAGCAATTTTTTTTCTCTACTTGTTTCCAGAAATTGCAGAACTAGCATAAACTGCAGACTTCCACCCATGTCTGGGACCATAGAAAGAGTAGGGGCAGCTGGAGCCGGAGTTAGACTAGATGGCCTGGGAGGACCCTTCTGACTGGCTTTGTTTCTATGTTTTTATGAGTGGGGACCATCACTCCTTCTCTGCAGTTCCAGAGCTGGGAGAGTATATTGGGTTTGTCTCACTTGCTAAAATCTGACAGACCACTCCCTGGGGAGGGGGACAAGTGAAAGCCTGAAGCCTGCTAACATAGCTGAACAATGTTGCTCAAGACAGTTCACAGTGCTTGTGGAATAACAAAAGAAATGTAAGGAAAGTCCTTATGGTAAGCTCTTGAGGGACAGGCACAGAATCCTGTTCTGCCTGTGTGCAGTGAATTTCCCAATGATAGTCCAGGGAGTTTCAGACACGTTATCTGAAATATCATTTCATTTGTATAAATAGGTTTCAGTAAGATCTCCAGTCTCATCAACATATCAACGCATACTTCTATTAAGATACTGGAAATTGCACAATAAAAGCAACTTTCACTAATCCAAATTGGCATTGCTGAAAACTATTTAATTCTGGCCAGTATTCCAAAGTTCTATCCTTTACAAACGGCTGCTTTGACATTTTTAGGAAGTGTTAAGAAACCCAGTTATGTGCAATTATATACTATCTAAACAGAAAACAAAGTCGAGACCTCAAAACTATACATGTCATATGCATGTTATATATATCTTTCTAAAAAGTAATCTAATCAAGGATGTTTTGGGAAGGTACAATATTTACCTTCTTACTCACAAGCAATAAGGACACTTGCACAGTGGGTTAAGTTATTACCACCCCTTTCTGGAGTATATTGTAAGGATACACTGTTAAGAGGGTGACACTGCAACTTCTCCCACTTGGTGTATCTCCTTTTGCCGCCACTGCCCCCCCCACCATTAACTTTTCAGTTGACAGCTGACAACTGTGTGTCTTCCCAGTCTGTTACCTACTCCACTTCCCTTTGAAAGATGAAACACACAAAACCATTAACAAGACAAGACTACACATATCCGAATGCCCTAAGTGTGCACTGGTGTACTTGCAAAACAGGCACACATGCACACACACAATTTGACACACAGTTTGGCAATTTTTAGGTGTCCAACAATGGGAAACACTTGCTCAACTGCACTTTTTTGACATTCATAAAACCAACCAAACAAAAACCTCTCAACTAAAAGGGGTAACAGTTTCAGCAGAGAGTAGGAGTCAAGTCAGATTCCACCATGGAGGATACTGGGATGCTGGCTGGAGGGCTGAAGAGGAACAAGGAGAACAGACCATAATGAGTCTGATAATCTGTCAGGTGCACCATGGATTGTTCTACAAACCCCCCCACTGCATATAGCTTTAGTCATAAGGGGTTTAGCATATTGTGCAAATTTGTCCACCAAGGCTTATTTACATCGTATGTGCAGGGCACGCTTTCTGTAATCACCGTCCAGGTGTGGCTTGTCTGATTATGGAAACACCCCTCCAATAATCCATGGACCATTGCAGTATTACTGGAAGGCTTTGTCCTGCTCCAACAAGTCATGTAACCCAGCTTCAGACAAGATGACAAGCCATGATCAGGTGGTCATTACAGAAATCAGGTTTCATGCACTGACCCAGAGTGAAGATGCAACGGCAGTACATTGCACCTGGTATGACAGGCTAAGCTATCTGCTCATGGGCACTATAAAACAGGAATCTAACTAGCAAAACCCTCCCTACAGCTAGATTAATAGTAACACTTCCAAGAAAATCTACAACTACATGAGTAGTTTTCAAAAACCTAAATAATTTTTTTCAGACTGCAGGCCATTAAACTAAGATAACCTACAGCAAAACTGCACAAAGTTCTACAACAGAAGACATGTCACACTACCACTGCAAAGAGGTTGTGATTATGTAAACATCCTACCCTTCCAAAGCATTCAGCAAAAGTCAGCAAATGGAAGAACTTGTCTATGCACCACTGTTTCACCAAGATGGCACTTGGCCATTCTATACTTGATCAGAGATGGTTTCACAGAAATTCAGCCTTACAGAGCAGAGGATTGTGAGATAATCCTCTTTCCTCAGTAGGCAGCTCACCATCCTCGTGGTTCCCAAAGTTCTTGGTGCGTACTGCCTGCCATTTCAAATGTTTGCTCATACTGCTGTACATGGTCAATAAGCCAAAGGAATGAGCAAGCCTGCCACAGAAATTCAAATAAATTCAAATAATGGTGTGGCATTACTTGTTAACTTGTTCAGACTTTAATACCATTTTACTGAATAATGTTATTTTATTATATTGTATATTTTTATTTGTAACCCACCCAGGGAGCCTTAAGGAGGGATAAAATGAGGCAAGGATAAAAATCTAATAAATAATAAATAGATAAATAAATGAAAGTAACTTCAGGCTGCACTGGTTGATGTTAGAACTAGACCACTCTAGTGGAAGCCACTCCTGGAATGTAATTGTTTTGGGGCTATCCCATTTTATACTGAATGTATTTGCATAAAGTGATCCAAATACAAAACAAGACTGATACGAAGAACAGCTAACCTAGCAACTTCTCCCCAGTATGCCGGATTTGTATATGCAGCCAGCAGTTTATGTGGAGAAGCACATCACCTGCAGTCTGAAACGGCTAAGACCAGCAAGATACATCACTTGAGCTCCTAGCTAGTCTTTTTTAGCTCAGAGTCCTTCATCTCTGACTATACAAATAAATAAATTAGTATTACAATATCAAGCTGCACCAGAGAGCAGAGCTTTAAAGAAGTGTGAATGTCAGAGCAAATCACTGGTCCACCAAGCATGCCTGAACAATCTCCACTTATTTTAACTGGTATGTGCAAAAATGCTCATGAAATTCAAACTGAAATGGAGTTTGCATAGTTATGCCTGACAGACTATACCCATACACAATTGCAAACCCAATGTGTTGTGCATAGGCAGATTCTGTTGAACTTAATAGGGTATCCACTGATAGAAAATAGACTTGAAGAGTCAAATGGTGATCTCAGCATTAGAGTCTTGCTTTTAAGTCTTCTCAAACAATATAGAAACAGCTTTACTTAGAAGCTCATTTCTCTTGTGCAAAAAAGAAATGTGTTCACCCATAAAAGATTGGCAAACCAAAAGCTTTTTAAATAGTATTTTATTTTTATGGTTGCTATAAAATGCAGTTATTTTGAGTACCATATGCCAAGTTGAGTAGTTGATACATATTCCTGGTCATGCTATTTGGACTAAAGGAATAAAACAGGCCATAACAGATTGAGAAGTTTTTCAAAAGGCATGTTCAATATTTTATGAGAGTGGCCAAAATATTTAATCTCTCAGTCAGTCAATATGGATGCAGCAGGAAAAAAAAAGATTAGTGATTGTGCAATCCACACAATGGAGAAAATTAAAACAAACTTGTTTCTGATACTGAGGAATAATGCAGGGGGTAATAATTTGTAAACTATGTGCAAAATATTCCTCACAGAGGCTCTGAAGTAACCCGCTTGCCTATCTGCCACCCACAGCAAGGCTGAACCAGCTATTCATGCATTGAACAGAAGCTGGAAAGTGCAGCATTAAATGCAGGATTGGAGAGAATGGGGCTTTGTTGGAAACAGCAGAAAGATGCCCCAAGGTGTTTCAGATGCAGAGAAACAGCTCCAGCATTTTAAGAGGATCGTCCATTTAGAATAAAGAGCTACAAAGTAGGCTGCTTTAAATATTACCATCTAAGCCACAGTGATGTTAACTGGCACGGGAAAGGAGAAGGCAAGACAGCAGGGACTGGACTCAATTCACCATTATCAGACTTTTTTCCTATTTGCTATAGTGCAAATAAGAACATTGAGAACCCCCATCTCACTCTTAGATTGCTGTGTTTAACTTAGTGCAGCCTTCATATTTACACAGAGCTGCGATTCTCCTAGTTTATTATTTGTTTTCTTAAGTGTCGCTCCTCTAAATTTAGCATGACAGCTAAATGATGGCAGGAGTTTTATCAGTTCAGTTTAAAAAACATCCTCTACCTGGTATCTCTGCAGTGATTGTCTTGCTGCTCCCTGAAACTTCTTCATCATCATCTGATGAACTCGTGCTTGAGTCACAGGTTAGGTCACTATCACTGGTACTGCTGTCCTGCAGCAGGTTATATTTCTTGCGGGCCGCCGCTTCCCGTTTCTGCCTCAATAACCGAATTCGCTCTTTGTGCTTTTGGCTCCGATGACCTTTGACCTTTGCAACACGACCATTCTGTTTATCACTCGACTGCCGGTTTTTCTTTGCAGCCATGGTTGAGGTTTCACTTTCTGACCTGGAGCGCCTGGATTTCCTCCCAACAGTAGACCCTGACACTGCGGATGGGTCTCCCTCTACCGTTGCTTCGGCTCGGCTCGGCTCATTCTCTTCTGCAGAAGACAGAGTGTCTGAATCAGCCAAGTGCCCACTGGAAGAAGGGGACAGCATGCAATGGTTGGAAGAGTCACTCTCATAAACACGGCCAGCTGTCGGCTTGTCACTTTCTGTTGATGCTAGCTGAGATTCTGATGAGTCCCGTCTCAGCTCCATCAGCAAGCATGGCATGGAGGTAAGCACTGCTGAATCCTCTAGGACAGCTCCACGCTCTTTCTGAGCATGCATTTCTAGTTCTATAGATCCCTCTTCACCCAGAGCTGCCTCTTGTTTTTCTGAGAGTTTTGGTGGGATCTCTGGATCAATGAGTTCTTCTGCTTTGTCTACTGCCTCCATCTTCATTTCAGAGTTTTAAAGTCTCTCTCCCGGTCTCAAAGCATGGAGCACAGAGTCTAGTGGACAGTGCAAACTAGCCTAGGGCTTCAGAAGGAAAGCAACCTGCAGGAAAACACAGAGAACAAATGAACAGGTTGGGAGCCACAGAATACCTGAAATAACCTCTGTACAGGATGACAGATCTTTCTGATTTCAAAGTAAAACTGGATACCATTTAGAGAGGCCTTTTAATATAGATGCTGCTGGCTCAAGTGGGGCTTAAGCCCACAGACATCTTTCAGAGGGATTTGAGTTGTGCTGAAGAGTCCATAAATCACTTCCTCCCACCCTCAAGACAGAGGCTTACACTCATCCTGTGAAGGGTGGGAGGAGCAATGGAAGTGATCTTTGCCTCCCCATCCTCCTACCTTTCATTTCCCCTAGACAGACCTTTTGGCCCATCTAGGCCCATTTTGGATGGGGGGAGGGGGCTTGAGAAGCCCCAGGGCAGGCTGTAACCTGCCCTCTCAAGTTTTCTCCCCTCCTCACTCACCAAAATACCTCATTTTCTCAGGTTCTGAGGTTGTGTTTCTGACCTTGCAGAGGGAGCCAACATGGCTCTTTCCATGGTGGATGTGAGGGGGAGGGGACATGGACATCACGTTCCCTAATCTGAGGTCAGAACTCTGTCTCCATTCCCAGATCTGGGAATCCAAAGTATCCTATAACTCCTCAGATGCTGTGTCCAGGTGATAGGAGTGGCCCATGAATTGATCTAATCTGTTTTTGGAACTGACTGATTTGGTAGCCATCACTACATACTGTAGAAGCGTAATTCATAGTTTTACTGTTTGGAGGCAAGATTAACAGTCCAGATGAATTTGCAAAGTAGTGCTGCAATGCAACACTGGGGAGATAATTGCTCCAGATATCCAGGGGTCAAAGCAGCATGTAGTACTGGCCACCTGACTGAATGATTTGGACACAGACAATTCAAATTTAGATCTAAATTCTTCTTCAGCAAACATTGGTAAGGCAAAAAAGGAAAGGAAAGGACTTGCATGATCAAGATACATACAAAACATAAGCACATATAGCACATACATTATTTTTTCTCAGTGAAGTGAGCATCTTAGTTTCCAGGGGACAAGAGGGTTATCCTCCCACCCAACATCCCATTATTAGTAAGCTAGTTGTTCACTACAGCAGTAGTGCGAAAATGAAGTTGGGCCTGGCATAAAAGCAGCAAAATGATTTATGTAATAGTTTTGATACTAGTTGCCCAGATCACAACAGTGGGGATGAGGAAATGCTGGGTTTGAGTTAACCCCCCCCCCCAAATAGTTTAGGGTAGATTGATCTTGTAAATTTAGATCATAGCTGGACTCTGCCTTAGTTTTCATGTTGGCCCTGTTCAAATGTAACAGTGGCGTACAGCATCAATTCGATTAACATACAAATCGCTGGAATGAAAACTGTATACAACTTCCAGAAAACCAGAACAACTTACAAATGTGGCATCTATAGGGTGTTTCCATGATGTTCATGGGTTAAACAACACAAACTAACCCAAGAATGAGATGCGGATTAATGTGTGTTTTTTAAGTCACAAACAACCTTAACTGCCTGGGGTTTGGACATCACAGAAATAACTTGAAAATGTCTCATTTGCCCATTCCTGCAGGAAACCAGAAGTGACATGTGCACAGCCTGCGTGCCCAGAACTTGTGGGCTAATTAACCAACTAGCTGTCACACCCATACAGAGTAACTGTGTCACGCTGATTTGCCTCTCCATCCACAGCTTTCTGTAATTATATTAAGATTTGTCGTAATCTGTTTCTTAGGTCACCTGTAAAGAATATTTAATCAATTATGATCTGTTCACATTTACTGTCTGCCTCTTGTGCAACTGAGAATTAAACACATTCATGCTAACTTGGATTCCACAGCAATCAGTCAATAATGATTTGGAAACAACCCTTTGGTTGCCGAGCCTTGTATGCAAATACAGTCCATTTGACAAAAAACTGCAAAGTGATTTATTCACCTTTGCTATTTATAATACCCTTTCAACATCAACTACATAAACGATTAATGCCATTAGGCAATACAGAATTTTTAGAGAATTGCAAAACACTAATCCTCAATCATTCTGCTGTATCTATGCATAGGTGTCCAATGCTATGCATTTACAGCTGAGTGTTGTTCAATGGATAGAGTGCAGGGTATGGGAGACTGAGGCTGTGGTCTCCTTCAGTGGCTGAGCAGGGATTTAAACTTTCAATTGCTTATATTCTGAAAAACAACAGGTGATCACTTCAAACACCAGTAAGTATGAGAGAAATGACTGGTGTAAGATACAGAGATACAACTACATCCTCCAGATTTGTAGCATTCAATTTTAAAAGTAATGTGTAAAACAATTCTGAGGTTTCTGAACGCCACCAGGATTTCTGTAGCTATGAGGCTCTCCAGAACTCCTACCAAAAGAATGAATGTTCTCCTGTGCAGCTAGATTGAACATAAATGCTCTGGTTATAGGTACTTCACATGTGCTAGACAGGAAGAGGTACTTAAAGCCACATTGCTGGTCACCCTTGGGTCAGGGGCTGCCAATATTGTGCCTCTGAATATCTTCCTTGACACCCAAGATGCCACCCATCCCAAGGTTTGAATCATCTTGCTGAAAAATTCTTTGCTTTAACTTGTCCTCCTTCCTCCAGAATGCCTCTTGGACCTACATGCACTCAGAAGCAAAGGAGCCAGTGCTTTCCCTTCTAGTTTTCTCCTAAAAATGAATTGTATTCAAAAAAAGAAAAAAGGATACTTACTGCTGCCTAGTAAGATTGAGATCTTGAGGAAGGCAAGTTCAGAGAAGAGTGTGTGAATTTTGTTTCTACTATGTGCATGTGTGGCGGGGGTGGGGGGATGACAGTATTTTGCCAGGTATTTTGGAATGCCTGTGATCCTATAATGCCAATTTGGCTGGGCTTTGTGAGAAAAGAACGCAGCCTGGCATTTGAAGTTTGAACCCAAACTCTGCACATAATTTCTTGGGGGGATAGTCCCCTCTCCTTTGTGAATAGGCAGGCCCTGATGAAAACCCCTTTCTGTGACCACAACCATTTCTCAGATTTCTAAGTATACCCACAGACTGAAAAACAATGGAGATCTCTGCTCCAAATGGAAAATAGCAAAGGCCCCACCCACTGTATCATTACATGGAAGTCCCTCCAAGGCTATGCTGATTCAGGCCCAAGGCTGTGTCTACTTCCTACTTTCATCAGCAAAATGCAAAGTTACAACTATGCTGAACCAAGAATATCAACAGTAAGCTGATGGCAATGTACGAGGTGTGTCCATAAAGTAATGAGAATTATATTTTAAAAATTCTTTTACTGAAAAAATTTACAATTGAACATTGTCTCCTTCAAAGTATTCACCTTGTGAGTATACACAATGCTCCCAGCTATTTTTCCATTCTTCATTGCATCCCTGGAAGTCTTCAAGTGGGGTGGCGTTCAGAGCCTGCACAGTGGCTCTTTGAACATTATGCACACTAACAAAATAGTGTCCTTCCAAACCGTTCTTCATCTTTGGGAGTATGAAAAAGTCGCAAGGAGCCAAGTCGGGGCTGTAGGGTGGATGCGGAAGCGCCGTGATGTTTTTCAGCCCAAAACTCTCTGACAGCCAAAGCACTGTGACTTGGTGCACTGTCATGATGAAGGATCCAAGTTGAGCTGATCTCAGGACGCACAGGAAAAACTCTTTGTCTCAAGTGACCAAGAAATTCCAGGTAAAATCTTTGATTCACAGTTTGACCAATAGGTACAAATTCCTTATGGACAATTCCACATGAATTAAAACAACAACAACAACGACCGTTGATCTGACTTTTGATTTGCTCATTCAAGCTTTCTTGGGGTGAGATGACGAGTGTGTGTTTCTTCATCTTGGGATTGTACTCAAACACCAGGCTTTATCTCCCGTGATCGCTCAACCCAAAAAATCAGGCTCTCTTTCCAATGGGGCCAACAGGTCTTGGTAAACGGTGTTCCTTCTGATCAGGTGACAAGTTCTTTGGAACAAGTTTCGCACACACTTTTCTCATGTTCAAATCCTGAGTCGTGATTTCATGAACAATTGACATTCTCAAATTTCCATTTCCCATTTCCTCTGATAGTGAGCTGTCGATCACAGTTGAGAACAGGCCTCACTGCATTCACATTCTGTTCCTTTTTTTGACAAAGGGGGGCATCCTGATCATTGTTCGTCTCCAACACCTTCATGTCCTTCATTGCAGGCCTAGTGTGCTCAGTACACTTGTGCAGGTGACAGTGCAGCTTCTCCATAAGCTTTCCTCACCATCTCTAAAGTTTCTGAAACACTTTTACCCAATTTCACACAAAATTTTATCGTGTACCACTGTTCCAAACTTGCCTGCGTTATTCTTAATAAGAGGACTTGAACAGGGTGTCACAAACAAGAATGTCTTGACTTCGATAGGGCTGGAATGCAAATCAGTGTTCCAACACTGTGGTGAGGCACCCCACCTCAAGTGACCTTGGCCAGCTTCTCCCTTCACAGAGCCCTTCTCAAGTGTAGGAACTTCATTCTCATTACTTTCTGGACACACCTTGTATGTCTACAATTATTATTTCTAAACCTGGTTAAAGAAAAAGAATCACTTTCTCCCAGAATGAAAGAGAAATATCTGTGAAAGAAAATGAGTGATAGTATGTCAGGGAACACTACAATTAAAAGAGTTAGTGCCAGCAATACAAATGCCTGCATGTGGGATTTAGTCAGCAGTGAAAGTCAGAAGGCGTGCTATTAAGCCTTCCCTATTAGAATCAACAGTATGCTACAAGCTCGCTAGCAGAAACAGAGGCGCAGTATGTGCTTAGTAGTAAGTGTGCCTCTCATAATGCACTGCCAAGATTACTCATGCATTATTCAGATTCTTCTTCAAGATCTCTTTTATGGGTCTTTACCTAGCAAGACCCTGATGAACTTGTGAGATCTTCCAGACTGTACCCACAGACTTAGTTTAAGTTGATACAAGAGCAGACAAGAGAATATTTATTTCTGTCTCTGCTAAGTCTCAACCATATCTTCATTTTTTTTACTTCCAATTCTAGTCCATAGAGATAAGTTTATATAGGAACTTAGACAGCAATCTAATACAGCATCCAAGTGTCTTTCTTTATCAGTGAAAACAAATGTACTGATTTTCTTTTAGAAAAACAAAGGAAAAAATTGGATGCTTGATGCTGGATTTAAAAAACAAACCTCACCAATACAACATGTTGATCTTCAAGCTACTTCTGGATTGTGAGGATACTCATCAATTCATAAACAAATCTGATTTAAAAACACAATTTTCATCTAGTAGCAGTAGCTCTCCAAGGTTTCAGACAGGAATCTTTCACAGCCCTAGCTAGACTGTACAAGTTGCATGGAGAGATTGGGTACAGCAAATATAAGGTGAAACATATTCTGCACTAAACTTAGTAAAAGTCTAACAAAGAATATTCTGAACGGTGAGAGACATGCAGAAACAAGAGTTCAACTATAAAAGGAAGGTGTGGGAAAACTATGGAAGTCCATAATATTGCTCAAACTGTAACAATGTTAGTTCTATAAAAACACTGAGTGCAATATCTCAAATATTCTACTGGTAAATTTGGGTGCTGAGTTATGATGGTGATGTACCCAAGAGGAAAATATCAGTATGTCAGGAGCAATTCCAAGGGTTGCAGAACTACAATTTTTGGGGAACCCCACCCCAAAAGCAGATAATAACAAATATACTCAGTGGCTACAGAACACTTAATTTCTGTTGTTGGGAGGTGGAGGGTAAAAACAGATAATTGGGGTTGGGGCTGGGATAGGACAGCGTATTCCCAGAAAAAGACATTGTTGGCAGAACAGGAACATTCTGCACCACATGCCGGGCAGGTTTGTGCATCACACTGTGCCACCCTGCAAACAGAACACAGGGGTCCAGGTGCTTGCGGAACAACCCACATATCCAACAGACAACCAGGCCTGCTGAGATTTGCTCCCCCTCACCTTCCTCTAGACAGCTTTGACATGTTTCCCAGGCACTCCTGAGACACAGAGTCTATCTTGCCTCTTCCACCCAGCCAACTCCCTACCTCAATTGTTATAATTTATGCTCAATGAAATGAATGATTTATTGAATCATTTTATTAAGATATGTGCATACGTGTGTGTGTCTGTATGCACGCACGCAAACAACGGAAGGCTTTTCTTTTTCAGTAGCCTCGGGATAGTTGGTTGTTGATGTTTCTGTGTTTAAACTGTTTATTTGATCACTGTGATGTACATTAGGCTATATGTGATGAGAGGCAGGATATAAATTTTATAAATATAAACCAACAGTATGACACGGTGGTTTTTTTTTATACCAAATGTATTTCAAACCTGCTAAATCAAATCTTCATTAACTTAGGGAAATTGATTTTTTTCAGAAAACTCTGAGGTCAAACACGGGAGTCAAGTAAGAGCTTTGAGCTCTTTATCAGACAAGACTCAACTGTAAACTTACAACATGAGGCCATCTAGAAACCCACTTACGTCAGGCTCTCCTCCCTCCTGCGTGCTGTTGCAACAGATATAATCTCCACAGTGTTAAGGTAAGTAGGAATAAGAGGCATGAGAACAAATTGGAATTCAAAGTACCTTAAACAGCTTTTAGCACTTTCCACTTCTACATTCTCTGATTTTAACTGGGTCAGAGTTCTCAAAGGGTTTACAGGAAGAACTTGGTGTACTATGTGATTCCAAATTCTTGCCCATGAAAATGAATATTAACCACCAATGTCAATTCCTCACCTATAAAATGTAAAAGATAGTGCCCTTAATGGAGGAATGCAAGAAAAATGGTGAAGCACTTTCCAGGCATTTGCACACCATAAATTATGCACAGAATTATTGTTCTGCAGCATTTAGATATCAGTGTTTTGAGCTTTGTGGTCCATCTGCTAGAAGTAAGATAATGGAGGGCTATATAGGAAGGCGGAGAGGGAAACAAAAATACAATCCCTCTTTAAGACTTGAAAATCACACTCACCAATATTTCACAGTATTTCTTAAGATGCATATTTTGGAAAGGGCTGTTTTATTTAACTGTAGTAATGAGAGACTTTTAAAACATCTCTTACTCCATTTCTGCAGGAGCATAAAGGCTTTTCACCAAAGGATGTTCTTACTTGATCTATATCCACTGAATAACACATTTGTATTGAAGTCAGCCCTGAGTCTCAGAGGGTAAACAGTATTATACTACAGAGCTCAGTGTTAATGCTTATTTGGAAAATATGGAGGATATTTGAAGAGGAGCTTCTCAGTGTACCTGTCAAGTTCAGCACATGGCTCAGATGCGTTCATGTGAGACATCACAGCCCAAACAAAGTGAGAACAGTACAGGCTCATCCATCACTCACATTGCTTAATGAAAAACAACGTTCCCGCTAAAGTTCTGCAAGCCACACTGCTAGCTTCCCGTTGCAGCAGTGGTGTCCAAAGAACCGTGGTACCTCTCTTCCCAGGTGATTCCTGAAGTTGATGTGAACTAAGAACACTGTGTCCTATAGCATGGATATACCCTAAGTGTGCAAAATGTTTCCCAGCCTGGAAAAAGCTGCCACTCTGTATAAGTGGAAATATTTTTAAGGCAAGGTCCACTGTTGCTAGTGCTGCAGTCCTCCCAGAGGAAAATATGTAATGCTTATTAAACAGAGATCACCTACCAAATATAACCTTCCTGTGAAGATAATGCTTCTGATTCAGCAGCAGACATTGCCCAGAAATCCTTGCTTACACAATCTATTTATACGTGACAGATCTAAGACACTGAAAAGCTACATGTAGCCAGCTTAAGTAAATACTCAGTGGGAAAGCATAAAAGTTCGAGTGATTAAATAGGGTGGTATTCGAATGTAATAAACAATTAACTATTATTTAACAAATGTATAGCCTACTTTTTTTCTTCCTTTAAGAACTTAGAGCAACTTACATAATTCTCCTGCTCTCAATCTTATCCCTGCAACAACAACCCTGTGGGCAGAAAGTTTGTGACTGGACCAAAGTCGCCCAGTTGGCTCCATGGCCAAGTGGGGACTAGAAGGCAGGTCGCCTTAGTCCCATGTCCATGTTCTTAACCACTGGCCAGGAACTGAAAAATTGAATAATTCCTCTTCAGTAGCTGGCAGAAAAGCATTTGCCCTCACTGACATGGCAGCTTAGGAAGTCTTGGGATACATTCATTTCTAATTTTAAGGGAGGTTGCATTCAAGCAGCTAAATTAGGCTGCCAGTAAAACCAGGAGAAAATTCTCCAGTTCTAAATTGCATTGGCAAGGGCTTCTTCCCTTTCTCCTCTTTCTCATGCTGTTTAATGTTGTAAGCCGTCCTGAGATGTGGTCGTAAAGGACGGCATATAAAGGTTTTACATACAGACATACATACAGACATACATCCTACATACAGACATACATACATGCAGGTGTTAGACTACATGTAAGGGCTGGCTGTACCTTTTTCAGTCTCAACCTGGTGCTGCGCAGTACTGTGTTGAAGTTTCCCTGTTTTCCATGTGGTAAACCACCTTTCTGATGCAGTGAGACAAGTGGCTTCCCTCTCCCACCATTATCCTCTTCCTGTAAGAACTTTTGCAGCCCCAGACTCAACCCGATTTGAAGAAATCCTTCCAAATGCCTCCCATTCAACAAGATCCTGCCATTTCATCCAAACTGTAGGTATTTATCTAAGATCAGACAGTGTGCTTTCTAAATGTATTTATTTAATTGGGCAGCAAAAGGTAGAAGACAATTTGAACCCTTGCTTTTACTTCTTCCAATCCATTTTTCTACAATCTTCTTTATTCCCCAGAGCCAAGAGGGCTGTCTTCTTTCACACACCCCTTTCATTCCAGAAATAAAAAAGACTGATTGACAAAACAAAAAATAGGTTATCAGAATAAGCTGCAGGGAAGTTTAAAAAATTCAGGAATTGATTTCTTTGCCAGAGACGAAAGGACTATCTCATAGCTTTTTAAACCCTGGGTTTGAAGACAGCTGCTTACTAGACTATGCTGTGGCTTACCAGGGAGGTGGGGACAATGTTTAATATTTTCAGGAAGATACCTGCAAGAGAATTGTGAGATACTAGCCTCTTGGCCAAATACTGCTGTGTGGAAAGGGAAAAATACTCTGCATGTATTAAAAAGCAGTTTTAGACGCCTTCCTGTGGGTTGCTCCCTCAGGACGAGGTACGCAAGTCCTCAAACCTGTAGACTTAAAGCTTGCTGTGCAGGACAGGTGGAGTGCTGGAAGTGATCTCTGCTTCCTGGTCTGCTCTGCATTTCCTACTAGCTGGGTAGTTTTGCTCATTTAAGAAGGGGAGGAATGAAGAGTACAGAGACCTCACATCCTGGACTCTCCATTCTCCTCTCCTTTCCTCCACACCTATCAAAATGCCCCCTTTTCCAAGGTCCTGACCCTTTCTGAAGTGAAAGCATTGTCTCTGAATCTGAAAATTTCTCTAGCACCTCAGACTTTTTCTAGGAATCATAGGTTTGTTCCCTTACTATTATATTATTTCTGGAAGACAAGCAACATTGGTTAGCCCCTGTAGGAAAAACTAAGGGTGCAAAATCTTATGCAAGTTTAGCTAAGCAAAAGTCCTCTAACTCCCAGGATTCCACAGCTAGCTTGACTAGTTAAGGAATGCTGTGAGTTGTAGGACCTTTCTTCTGTTTAAATAAGCATAGGTCCTAAACTAACAAATTTACTTTTTATTGCCAAGTAGCTACTTGACTGGCACATGTGACAATTCCATGGATAGTTTGCAATAGTAATTTTTCCACACTTGGAAGACAAAAGGTTGCTGTTACATGAGAAGCATAACATGTGAACTTACCCTTCAGCTACTGCTGTCACTGCTGTACCTGTTCTGTGGACAGAAGCCTTGTATGTTCACTGTAGTCATTCTGGCTGCGTTTCATCACCAAATTCACTAAAACAAAACATACAAATACAAACTTCACATGATAATAAAGCTGGGTTTTTTTTAAAAAAAAAAGTGCAACAAACATGAATAAACAAAACACATTAATACCAGTTGATGCTTATGAGCAGTATTCGAACTCCACATATTTTTCTTTGCAAAAAAGATGACATGTTGTTCAGATACATTCATATGTATAAACAGAACATATATTTCTAAATTGCCTGTACACAGTACATAAAACAAACTACTTTATCTCAATTATATGCTAGCAGTTGACATTTCCTTTGGACTGAACCATAATTCATAAAGTACTTACAGCAATCACATGTACATTGAAACATAAGGGAAGGCACACTTTATGCTCAATCATGTTATTTAACTCTTGGAACCATGGACAACAAGAAAGCTTGATCAGCTTTCTCTCCTGACCCATCAGCACCTGGAAGATTTGCTGTTTAATCCTATGCATGTTTGCTCAAAACTCAGACCTACTGAATTCACTTGTTTCACTACTACTCAAGGTACAAATGGACAGTGGTATAGCCTAAGGACTTCTTTATTCATCCCCATCAAAGTTCAACATCACACAAAACAGACAGATACATGACCTAATGGAATAGCCATTTATTCCATTTACACCAGTGATTGAACCCAGTAGTTTGCTCAAAGAAAACCTAAAGGCAAACACACAACACATTCTCTTAGATTGTGGCCACTGTGACCTGCTTCATGCATTATGGCAGCAAATTGTGGATTATACACTGTGAGCAAGCCACATATGCTTTGCAAGTAATAACTCTAATTGGTGTAATTACAGATGTATGAGGTACACTACCCAAAGTTAATCTAAGGAAAAAATCATAGTATTTCAAAAGGTTAAATAATGTTCAACCCACAAACAAGCTGAAATGTTTGGGCTGGTATATCATGAAATGTCCTAGGATCATGACAACCAGAGATTCCCTTAACGAGGTGAAAACAGTACAAAAATGGCACACAGCACAAGATTTGCTGCTGTAACTTGTAAGCCGGTTCTTTAAATGTCTGAAAGGCATCTGAATTAAACATTAATAACTACATATGCAATCTATGACCATAACCAAAAAAATACAGGGGAGAGCTACACATTCTGGGGTTGTAGGGGGAGGCTTTTATGACAACTCCATTGCAGCCTCCTGCTATTAACTAGAACAACTGAATTACAGAGTATTACTTTTACTTCTATCTACAAAACAAACATTTAAATCTGACTATTTCCCACCAATGTGCGGGTTTGGTAAAGGAACTATGGGGGACGCGGGGAGAGATCCTATTCATGCTTAGCCAGAAAAAGAAGTCTTATAACTCCCAGAATTCCTCAGCTAGCAACAATGGAACTTAAGATGCTCAGCGGGGTTCAGCTACCAAGAAGAAAGTCAGCTATTATAGAAATGCCCTAGAAAAGCTTGAATTGGTAAGCATTTTTAATAAAATAAGATGTTAATTTAATAACAATTTAATAATTTAATAAACACAAGCAGTTGCCTTCCAGGATGGGTCTCTCATTCTTCTCTCTTTAGTTTATTGTGGGAATAAGAAAAGATTGAGGATAAGATATCTCACTTTTGGATATACTATGCAGAATGAGGCTTTTCTTGTTTGGGTTCCATTTTTTAAAGTGGGTGTATGCCCCTTATAAATGTTTACAGGAAAAAAAAGAAGACGTGAACCCCTTTTCAGTTTAAAGTTTCACATCTTAAACTGAAAGTAAGCAGCCTCTTCTATGTATGGCATATGTGCATGGGGTTGACATAATCTGCTCTTTGTGACCCTAGGGACCACATGAATATACACCAGAGGCCACTGGATGGCCTCAGCTAGAATTTACACAATGCAGCGTAAAGCCAACATGCAAAGTTAACCTCATATAATAGCACTGATTTTTGGGATTGCATTTTTTCATAAACAACTGTGTGTCAACTAGTTGCTGGTAAACTGGAATAGCTTCAAATTACTGTATCAGTGAGAATGGCAGGGACACACAGAAGTGGAAGCACAGAAGGAAACCTAACACTTCCTCATTTATGTGCATTCATTAGAACAGACTTGCAAATAGCCTGCTTGCCAGGTCATACAAGGCAAATGAGAGCACACAGTAATGCAACAACAGATGATGGTGGTGGCAGCTTGGTCTCAAGATCACATACTGTACATTCACCTCCACATGTGGTAACAAATTTATGACCTTGGCATACTTAACATCTGCCCCAGGTCTATCATTTTTCCAGATCAAGCAACGGGCAAGCAAAGTCAAAAAGTGCTAGGCTTTTCTGCACAAGTGACATATTACATTCTTATTTATCTGTTGATAGGAACAAAAATACGATATTGAAGCCCCAGACTGAGGCCACTGAATGTAACATACTAAGATTATGTTGTTATAAACGGGTCCAGTTATCTGAAGGACCGCCTATACCTGTATACCTGCCCCTTAAGGTCAGCTCAGGAGGCCCTTCTATGAGAGCCATCCCTCAGGGAAGTAAGAGGGGTAGCAAACAGACGAAGGGCCTTTTCTACTGCTACCATCCCCCCCAAAAAATCTCTGGACCTCCTTCCCAGGCAAATTTGCCTGGTGCCATGTTTTCTTTATAGCACCAAAGACATACCTTTTAAAGAAATTCTTTACGATCTAAGCCCTGTGAGTGCCGATGAACCTTTATTGGTTTTATTATATTGCATTGTTTTTACATCTTATGATTTTATTCTTTTAACTCTTTTATGTTGTTCTATTGTGTGAGCCACATAGGGGCAGTTATAGATGGCATATAAATATGTGAATGAATGAATGAGGCATATTTTGGTAGCCTGATAAAATATACACACTAATAACATTTACAGACCCATGTAGAAGGTTGTATTACAAACATACATTCTTACTAATGCTGAAATAGATGCAAGCATTATGCACCAGGTAGTATTGCATTTCCTTTGAAACCATTCATGTGGATCAAGATTAGGGAAAAAGTCAATCATGGTATTTTTCTTTCCGAGGTTGTCACTAGAGAACTCACAGAAATCTCACTCAAAGCCTAGCATTGACAAATTGCTTTGAGTACTATAAATGAACAGGAGTACTTAGTTAAGTACTAGTGTGGAACTGGAATGTGGCAAGTAGAATTTTCTAGATAAGTCTCTCCAAGCAGGTCTCACCTATTTGGTGACAAACCACTGCTGATGTCATCAAAGACAGAAGGCAAGGATATTTGTCCAAGTGGCCAAGACTTTGAATCCTGACACCGCCCCCCCCCCACAACACCACTCAAATTCTTGGCATATTTAAAGTATTTACTGTCAGCATCTAATGTTTACCATGCTAATCAACAACCCAGGATGTTGTTGAATCTCACTCTGAAATCACATTTGTGATTATGAGGATTCTTCAAAAAGTTTCTGCACTTTTTAAAACTCTATTTATTAAGTATTTAAAAACAAATTATATCACTTTTCTACATTGACACCTTTGTGATCCATTTTTCCCAGTGTCATACTAACTTTTTAATGCCATCAGCAAAAAATATATATAAAATATATTTATAAAATATAAAAGTGCAGAAACTTTTTGAAGACTCCTCATATTTTGTTTACTGGTAGCTGAGCTTTTAAACATTTATATTCTCACTCTCTGAGTTATATGACTCTCAGTATACTGTTATTATATTACTGTAGAGGGCACTAGCTGAAACTCTTTGAAGCTATTTGGCAGCAATCAATTAGACACTAACAAAAGTTGCATCCATAAGAGACCTCCAGTGCAATGCTGATAGCACATACTGATGTGATGGATTTCCCTGAAAAACACAGACCACCACCTGGCATTGTATTAGGGGCAACTTATGCAAGCACAAAAGTTTCCAACTGGTTATTGATTTATTTTATTATACTTCTAGACTACCCAATAGCCCACAGACTCTTGGGGTGGTTGACACATTTAAAAATATATAACCAATCAATAAAATAATCTTAAAACAGTAAAGTGGTAAACAATAAAGCCAATATAACAGGATCAACAAATCACAGCAATTATAATGAAATGAACATATGGCACAGCAGCAACAATAATAAAAACAGTACTAAAAAGCAACCCATATTAAAATGTCTGGAACATAAAAAGGCGAAACGAAATCAAGAATGGTGTCAGGCTTATCTCTATGGGAGCATGTTCCCGAGACAGGGTGCTACTACTGAAAAGACCCTTCTCCTGGTTGCTACCCCCTTACTTCTTCTGGGGTGGGTTCCCTGGGAAAGACCTCATGGATTATCTTAGAGGCTGGGTTCCTTTAGATAACCTGGTCCCAAGTTGCTTAGGGCTTTAACCATGTTGGGATGTGATCTCTTCACAAGCTCCTTTATTCAGGTAATTTGTTGTCTGCTTATAGTATTTTGGGGTAAACTGGGCATTTGTCATGTAGATTGGACTTTTGATTTCAGAAGTATCTGGTGGGAGGTAACCCATAACAGGACTGCTGCATAGGCAAAATCTATGAAAAAAAAAGAAAAAGCGAATTAAGTAGTCCTAATAATTTACTGCTACAGAAAAGCTAGTCTCTGTGAAAGTGGTGGAAGCATTTTACTTCATGACCATAGTTATTTTTTACCACTTTTCTGGTCTGATTTAAGGTGAGAGATGCAAGTTATTCTGAAATCTTTTTTTAATCTAGGTATAGAAATGCCAACTATACCTGTTCCAATATACATCAGAAAGAAGAGAATGCTATTTACATATGTGGAATAGCTTTTCCTCGCATTGGCACCTATAGCTTTCCATTTGGTTAATGATGTTTTCACAACTGCAAGCAGTTTTCTAATGTTCTATCCACAGCACAAAGGCTAGGTTGGGGGGAAATGTTCTGTCACAGATGATTCTCCATTCTACTAAAGGCTCCGGGAAATTACTTTGGCACTTCACCAGACAATTAATAAATTAGTCCCAGCAGCCACCCTACAGGCACCGGGGTCTACTATGTCCA